CCATGGCCTGTATCAGGTACACCTTAATCTCCAGACTGACATCATTGTTCTTCAGTACTTTGGAGAGATCTCTGACAGCAGACTCTCAAAGCAATGGCTGCTAGTACTGCGAGTGTTGACTTTGGAGTCAAACAAACTGAAGCTGTTAAGAATCTCTTCACTATCTATCATGATTATCAGTTAGCCCAGTGGTAACAATCTTTGTTTTCTTGATGTTGAGCTTCAATCGATATTGAAGGCTGCAGTCCTTGACCTTCTGCAGCAATTGTGTTCTAACAGGTTGTTATTTAGCTTCTATATGATTGTTTTTTAATTCTTCATCCCCTTGTCATTAATTTCTAGCTTTATGGCATTGTAGTATACAAATAATACTTTGTATTATTTCAGTGTCTTTTAATTTGTTAAGGCTTGCTTTTGTGTCCCAATATATGATCAATTCTGGATAATGTAACACATACACTTGAGAAGAAAGTAAATTGACTTTTTTTTTCTATAATTATATTTTATTAATTTTCATAAACATTTACAGAGATTTTGGGCTTCCACTCATTCATTGTTGCACTATTCTCTCTACCCTCCTCCCAGTTTGTTCTTGTCCAAATGCCACAGTGCTTGTCAAAGCCAGTTCTGATTAATCTTCTTTGTCAGTGTATCCTTTGCCATTCCCTATCACTCCTCCCTGAGAGAGACTTCACCCTGAGTCATAAGGAAAAGGGGACGGCGTATTCTCTTAGCTACTTCCTGCTGAAAAGGGACGCTGTGGGTTTCAGGGTGAAGATCTTCTCTCACTACTCTAAAGGGCCCCTTTGGCAGTAGGAAACACATAGACTATTATGGAGATTGATTTTGGAATTCAGATGCACTCTTATTGATTGTGCTTGGCTGTACATGTACATATCCTTCAAGATGTATCATGGGGGTGTTGCAACCTAGAAGACACAAATTTGACTAACAAATAAATTGACTTTTAATTGGGTGCAGTACTTTGAATACATCCACAAGATTATGTTGACTGATTGTAAAGTTTAGATCTTTTGCATCTTTGTTAATTTTTTTTAGTTGATCTATCCTTTGTTGAGAGTGGTATGTTAAAGTTTCCTACCACTATTGTACGAGCAGTCAGGAATTAAGGAGACACATTGCACAGGGAAAATCTGCAGTTAGGGACCCTTCCAAATTATTGAGGAGTAGTGAAGTCAGTTTGAGCACTAAGGTGTGTCTGATTCAGGCCATAGTCTTTCTGATTATTAGCTATGCATCCAAGAGCTGGATAATGAATTAGGATGACAGAAAAAGAATTGATGCCTTGAGCTGTGGTGTTGGAGAAGAGCACTGAACATTCCATGGATGGCCAAGAGAACAAACAGATAGGTCTTGAAGAGCGTGAAGCTAGAGTGCTCTTTGGAGGCAAGACTGATGAGGCTTCATCTCACATACTTTGGACTTGTTGCTAGAAGGTACTATTCCTTGGAGAAGGACATGATGTTAGGAAGAGTGGAGGGTCAGCAAAGGATAGGAAGACCCTCATTCATGTGGATTGATGTGGTGACTGCTGCAGTGGGCTCTTGTGTGTCAGGAAGCGTGAGGATGGTGCAGGATAGAACAAGGTACAGATCTTTTGTTCATAGGGTCACTATTAGTCGTGCTTGACTCAACAGCACCTAACAACAGCAACCACCCCTATTGTGGTGCTGTCTGTTTCGTCCAAGTCTGTTAACTGTTTTATGTATTTTGTAAGTCTATCATTTGGTTCATTAAATTGACCAAGATTATATCTTCTTGATCTCTTGTGCCTTTAATCACTATATAGTGCTCTTCCTTATCTTTTATGGTGGTTTTCATTCTGAAGTTTATTTTATCAGAGACTAGTTACTCCTGGGTTTTTTTGGTGGGTGCCATTTGCTTGTTATGTTATCTTTTGCCCTTTATTTTTTTTATCTTTTTTCTCATTTCTATGTGTATTTTATAAGCAACGTATCAATTGGCTTTCTTGGTTTTTTTAATAGATTCTGCTATTCTTTTTCTCTGAATTGGTGCATTTAATCTACTCATATTAAGTGTGATTATTAACAGGCCTCATTTTATTGCTGGCTTTTTGCTGTGTTTCTTTTTCTGTTGTTTCTGGTAGCTATGATCCATCCACTTTCCTTTGGTGTCTGTGTGAAGGACTTCCCTTAGAATTTCTTGTAGAATTGGTCTTGTTTTCAAAAATTCCTTAAGTTCCTACTTTTCTGCAAATGACCCAATTTCTTCTTTATATTTCCTGGACAGCTTTGCTTGACATAGGATCCATGGTTGGCCATTGTTTTCTTTCAATTTTCTCTATATATTATTCCATTGTCTTCTTGGTCCCATGGTTTCTGTTGAAAAATCAAAACTTCATCTAATTGGTTCTCTTTTGAAGGTAACACTTTGTTTTTCATTTGCTGCTTTAAGTATTCTATCCTTGTCTTTGATTTTGGAAAATTTGACTATCATATATTTTGGTGTCTTTCTTTCTGGGTCTGGTTTGTTTGGGGTTTGCTGAGCTTCTTTAATGTGGATTTCCTCATTCTTCATGATACCTAGGGAGTTTTCTTTTTTTAT